AGGATGTCTTATTTTCATCCAGGGACGTCCTGAGGACGTCCTGTGATGTAGCAAATAAATGCCTCATCGTGTCCTCAGGAAAATCCTGAAGACGTCCACTGACCGGTGTGAACCTAGCGCCCAACTTTATAAAAATTAAAAATTATTAGTACAGCGCGTTTGTACTTCGTTTCTACCTGATTGTACCTCCTTTGTTTTCGTTTGTACCTCAAAGGATAAAAAAAAAATGGTAAAAAAAATGACCAGCGCCCAACTATAAGATTTTTAAATTTCGCTTATGCCATTCGACAGAGAATCGTTTGTACCCGTTTGTACCTCCCTTGTTTATGTTTGTACTTCAAGGGGTTCGGAGATACAGCGTTCTTCATTTTTAGAGCAACTCTTATATAGGGATCTCAGTCATTTTACAAGATACCGAAAAGCGGCCAACGGCATTCGAAAGAGAATCGTTTGTACCCGTTTGTATCCCTCGTTTTTGTTTGTACCTCAAAGGATTCGGAAATACAGCGTCTTTCATTTTTGGAGCAACCCTTATACAGAGATCTCAGCCATTTTACAAGATATCGAAAAGCGGCCTGCGGCATTCGAAAGAGAATCGTTTGTACCCGTTTGTATCTTCCTCGTTTTCGTTTGTATCTCAACGAGTGTGGAGATACAATTTGAAGATAAGATCGGAGGATGATCCAACCGATGAAGGCAAGATCGAAGTATGATCCAGCCGATGAAGGCGAGATCGAAGTATGATCCAGCCGATGAAGGCGAGATCGAAGTATGATCCAGCCGATGAAGGCGAGATCGAAGTATCCCGAGCAGAAATTTTAAACAGGCTCTGATAGGGAACTAATAAGTATGCCCTAACGCCTGATTAGGGGCTCATCAGGTAATCCTTGTTAGGCCCTGACCGTAAATGTAACGTCGAGAATCAAGACTGCTTGATTAGGAAAAAATCATCAGGGTCAGATAATTGCCCCTTGTTATACCTTATGTTTTCAATAAGGAGCATTAAGGGTGTTATAAAGGCATTAATAGGGCGCTGATAAGGTGTTTGGTACTTAGATTTGTAACAAAAAAAATTTTTTTTTTTAATTTTATGATTACATATTATTAATATTTAGAGTTTAATTTGTGTTTACTTTATTTCGCATATTCTCTACTTTATTAATTAAAATTACGCAGGTTATTATAATTTTTGAAAACACATCGTGATTCGAACCTGAGATCCTTAGAACAACAGACTTGTACGCTAACGCTGAGCTAATAATACTTTTTACGAAGAACTTATTTTTTATGTTATATTATATATTTCTTTGTCACTGAGTTCTCGCGTCTAAACAAATACTGACAATGAGACCCAACAGTAATAGTTACGGAATCGCACATAAGTGAAATCTACGAATTTAGACTAAAAGTAGAGAATAAGCAAAAATTCAGCTAGAGATTATTATAACGCGCGTTATCAAACATGTTTTATCATTGATCGCATCCATGTTTCGATATTTAACACTATTATAAGAATAGGTATAAATATAGTATATCGCTTATATA